AACATAGTATTTTGACAATCCTACGAAGCTATACCTAAGATTCCCAGGCTTAATTGGGAAAAGGGGAAATTTAAACCAATGACTGATTCAAAGAAAGATTGTTCTTCTTTTTTTTTTTTTTTCTTTTTAAGAGAAGAAAAGAAGAAGAGAAGAAGAAGAAGATTGTGTTGTCTGAAAACCCAACCGCAGATTAGTACTCAGATAGATAGTGTGTCGAGGGCCAAAGAAAAACACGGAATATTCTGCGATATGGGAGGCCGAGTAGAGTCATGCTAGTGTTTTGCTTCTTCCTGGAATAAATAGGAGGGACGTTCAAATTGTCATAAATATTCTTATTTTTCAAAGCCTTAAGGAATGCTGACTTTTGGATCTGTATCCTCGACCTTTTACGGTTTACAACATTTACCATGGGGGTACAACTCCCAATATGGTCTTATTTTACCATCTAGGTTGTAAAATGGGAAACTTCAAAAAAAATTTTCCAAAAACTTTCAGCTTCCATTAGTATAAACAAGATTGAGGTATTTTTTAACTGGTTTTGTTACAGTTAGTTATGGAGTCAAAGTTATGTTCTTTATGGAAAATATTTTGAATTCAAAGCACACTCAACTTTTTTCTTCTTTTTTGTGAGTAAAGCGCACTAAAGTTTCAATTCTATCAGAGATATGTTAAATTAAGATCAATAATTCAGTATTCTGTTTGAACTTTCACCTAATCGAATTCTTTAATTTGAATGTGCCAATCTAGGTGATGTAAGAGCTGATGAAAATAAACACTTGATGGCTATGGCATGAGATGCAACAGCAGTTGCCATTAAAATATAAGTAATGCTAATGCTGGCCATTTTCCAGGGAGTTTTTTCAGCCTAATCAAGAAAGGGAAAAAGAATGTCAGGTCCTCAGTGCTGTAGCAATCCACCCGTACTGAACCCCAGCAGTGGAGAGGGGCATGTTGAGGAGCTTGCTGGCCTCAAAACTTATGTTGCTGGCTCTTCCCACTCCAAGAGTGCCATCCTTCTTATATCTGATATTTTTGGTACTTTCATTTCAACATTATTCTTTATGGCTCTTTATGTTTCGGGTTTCAGCTTATTCTACCTGGGTCTTGTATGATTGATGTTGTTTGGTTCAGTGTAGTATTTAGCAGCTTCATGTGTTTTGCTTAAGTTTACAGCTTTTTAAATAACATATCTTGCACTTTTCTGCTTAATTTTTTGTCAGTGGAACTCGTGTGTGTAGGCAAGTGTTATCTGTACTTTGCTGTATGTTTTGTTACTGAGTTAGAAATTCATGACAGAAAGATTGTTAGTGTCTTTTGTTTGATGTTGATGATTTATTATCATTTTATCTTGTTTTGGTTTGCAGTTTTCTTCCTTGGTTGTGTGTTGACTAATTGCTTATCTTTCTACCACTTGCCACTATCATTGTTGTCATCTCTATCATATTCTAATTTTACTCTATGTTTTTGCTCTGCAGGATATGAAGCTCCAAACTTGAGGTATGACTAATTCCATGAAATTGCTTCTTGAGGCTAATAGATGTTTTTTTGGCGGTCACCATGTAATTGTGGTGGATGTTTTTTCAATGCTGGACCAATAATGATAGTGATTCTACTGGTGAGTGCAACTACATATGCTAATTCCAGTTGTTTTCTGCTCTTAAGGAAGCTTGCAGACAAGCTTGCAGCTGCTGGGTTCTATGTGGTGGTTCCAGACTTCTTCTATGCAGATCCTTTTGAATTTGACATACCTGACAGGCCTTTAACGGTTTGGATAAAGGATCATGGAACGGTTGGTCCTGCTACTTTATGAATTCTTGCAAGTTGTTGTTGTTTTAAAAAAGGGAAAATTAAAGAACCTTTATTTGGTGCTTGATTTCACTGTTTTTGTTATTGTAATTAAGTATTGCACCTTAAGCTATATGCTCTGAAGCATTGAAGCTGTTCTTTTAGGATAAGGGTTTTGAGGATGCAAAGCCTGTAATTGATGCATTGAAAAGTAAAGGCCTATCGGCAATTGGTGCTGCTGGATTCTGTTGGGGTGGTAAGTAATTTATTAACTGTCTTGTATGAATATCTGCTACTTATACTGCTGTGGAACAGTTAACTACGTTCTGAAATTTTAGCTCTAAAAGCTCCTCATCGCCTCAATTGGATAATAGTAAACATTTGGGCTATTTTCAGCTAAAGTTGTGGTTGAACTATCTAAGTTTGAGCTTATCCAGTCAGCTGTGCTGTTACACCCATCATGGGTCAATCTGGATGACATCAAAGGTAAGGTTTCTAACATTCTACATTTCAAGCATGTTCCTTTACTTTCATAGCATATTGGTTTTGTTGAGAAAGATTAGGTGATATGTGAATAGATTTTAAGGAAGAACTACTAGTTGAACATAGATAACATGTTTACCATTAGCTCGAAAACAGCACTTCTAAATTATCATGTTGAATTTTGCAGGAGTCAAGGTTCCCATTGCGATACTAGGAGCTGAGATTGACGATTTTTCTCCACCTGAACTCTTGAAACAGTTTGAAGAGATCTTGACTGCTAAACCTGAGGTAGGCATATTACAGTAAACAAAAAAAGAGTCTTGTATCAATTGCATCATTTTGCTACCTGCAGGTACCTTCTATTTTCACTAGCAATATTTGCCTTGAGATTTGAAGACAGTAAGCAATTTTCTCTCTTAACCTTCCTAGATTGAGGAGTAAACTGAAAATTTTATGGAACTTCACATCATCCAGTATCATCTAAACTGAAAATTCATGCAGTTGGCTTCTCCTTGGCGGCTTCTAAATCTTTGTTTCCTGTCATGGAACCATCATAAATGAATTTCTCATCCTCATCAACAATTTCTTGATTGGAAATAACTCATTCGTAATCCTGTATGTAGGTTGATAGCTATGTGAAGGTATTTCCTAAAGTTGCACATGGTTGGACAGTGAGGTATGATGTGAATGATGAAGCAGCTGTGAAGCCTGCAGAAGAAGCTCATGCGAATATGTTGGAGTGGTTCACCAAGTATGCTAAGTAAGAGGAAAAAGAAGATTTGTCTGCGCCTCTTGACCACCTAGTCGAGGCATTCATGGACATCTTCATTGTGCTTGTGTATGTTAAGAATAAAGGTGGAAAATTTGGACTTTAAAATCCCTGTGTGTTTGAGATTAGACATTTGCTGGATTAAGATTTCCTAAGTGGATGGATATTTAATCTTGTATCATCTGAATAATGATGCATGGAAACTTCAATTTGCATGATTTGTCATGGATAATGGATTGGTAGATATAGTATTTCCTGCATATGACTCCAATTGAATTCACCATGTATGGATTCATTGTTTTTTCTCAATCTCCAGTAAAAATTTGAAAACTGAGTCAAGTACTTACTGTCATCTTCTTTTAATTTAATGCTTAATTTTTCTAAAAACAAAGCAGTAGGTAAAACTCTGTGCAATTATACTATAGAATCGTCTGCTTCTTTTAATTTAATGCTTAATTTTTCTAAGAACAAAGTAGTAGGTAAAACTCTATGCAACTATACTCTAGAATCCTCTGCTTCTAACCAGAAACTTCCAGAGGGTAAGGTTATTGCTATATAACATTTTGTTAAGGTTACACAAATAAAAGAAAATATTTAGATAAAGATACAACTTTTATTATTTTTTAATTTAAGAAAATAAATAATTTTAGTTTTTAAATTAGACAATAAATTTTTTTGTCTAAAAATATGAAGTTTATAATTTTTTTTATTTAAGAATATGAAATTTGCCCTATTTTGATTAAGATTATTATTTAACTCATCATTACTATCTAATAAATCCTTAAATAAAAAAAAATCTAAAATCCATATCTTTATTTAGAAAAAAATGAAAGTTTACTATTTAATTTAAAAACTCAAAAATTCTATATCCTTAAATAAAAAATAATAATGTTCATATTCTTATCTGCACTTTTTTTTTTTTGCAAATAGTGTAATAATTGTGTTTTGATTGATTTTTATCAGTTTATAGTTTTTTCTTAAACACCTAATTATGGTATTTGGAAATATCAATTTATAAGTTGATATCCTCAAGATTTATTAGTTTAAATGGAATGAATTTGATTTTTTTTAAATAAAATTTTAAATTTGAGTTTTGTGAAACTTTCTCTTTTTATAAAATTCAATTTAATTTGATTTTAAATTATTTGAAATCTAATGATAATTCTAGATAATGATAATTTAGTATAAAAAAAATCTTTTAAGTTGATTTTAATCTATTAAATGATCAACTAATAATTAAGTTATTAGTTACTTTTAACTGTTAAACAATATTTTGTATTGATTTAATAAAAAGTTGTCGGGCAATGACAGGGACGGAGCAACGTAGGATAAGGGGGGCAGCCGCCCCCCTGAGATTTTGAAAAATGTTTAATCTAGTGCATCAATTTTTTATTAGTACAAAATTTGTTCTTGATATTTGAATTATAAGGACTTTTTTGAATTTAAAGAAAATATTTAGGCGTTAAGTAGAGGGACTATTTCTTTCTTTATAATCGATTCTTAATACAAATAAATTTATTTGGGAATGAAAAAAGATTTTACATTAGTTGTAATTTTTTATACAATTTATATTCTATCAATTGAATAATTAAATTTGATATTCGAATAGAAAGTTCATTAATATCTGTAATTATATAAAAAAGGATATTATATTTTATATGAGATCAATATTTATTTACTAGACTTAAAATAAAAAGGTGAAAAATACTTTAAAATTAAGATGTTCCAATAAAGTAACACAAAAAACTACTAATATATTCTTCATTCTTATGCCAAAAATATGCTAATTTAGTCTACTTATTTTAACTAGAGTTTATTTAGATAACATAATTTTAAAATATTCTTTTCATAACTTTTTTCTTGATCCAACTTATTAACATTTTTTCTATTATTTTGTATTATTTGTTTAAGGATATTGAATCTATGTTACTTAAAAATAATTAAATATATTTAATTAATTTATAGTTTGGCACATATGTTATAAGTAATACATTTACCCATAATGTTAGTGATTAACATAAAAATTAGTATAATTTTTTTTTGTATGTAAAAATTATGGGTCTAACTCAAAACCTATGATAATAGTATGTTTGGATTAGAAGAAATG